AAAAAAAAAAAAAAAATCGCCTTTGCATTGCTCAATAAAAAAAAAATAAAAAGAATATAATTCGATAGAAAGTTTTTCAAATTGTCTACAAATCTAGAATAAATAATTTACGTTTCTATTTCAAAGTAAAATTATAAAAAGGATGTAAATATACTTTTTTGTAATTCGATGAAAAAGAAGTAAAAATAAATAAATAAATAAATGAATACAGAAAATATATAGGATAAAGAGAACAGAGCATTGTAAAGGATACTTGTGAAAAACATGTCAATAATTGGATGAATAATTCTTATATTCTATATTTATAATATAGATTTAAAAAAATAATAATAAAAGATCTCACGCTTAAGAAATTAGAAGATGAAGGAAAAAAGTAAAAAAGAAAAAAAAAATATATAAATCGAACAGAATAATTGAGTTGAATTAACTCGATTCTCATAAAGGAATCCAATTAATTTGAACTCCGATGGTACAAGTTAAATTCTTAAACGTATTATATTTATTTTTTGTATTTCGAGAAAGAAGCAGATATTAGATATACATATATATATCAACGTTGTGATCAACGTCTAATTAATAAAGGATATTATAGTAGATAATATAATTCAATATGAATTTATTATTAATTATGTGAGTTATTTATTTTAAATATGAAATTTGAACAAACCCAAAATGTTACAAGAACAGTCCATGTTAGAATCAAAATATTAACTTTTTTTTTTATAATAAAGTAAATCTAATATTAGTTTAAGCTAATTATATCAGCATAATTAAACATTTATGTTTATTATTGTCCTCAAAAATTAACAATCATTGGGTAAAACGCATTTATTATTATCAGTGTCTAATATATATCCTGGTACGCAATCGCATCCTTTCACACAAATCTACAATTAAAAATAATCAATTGAAAATAATTAAATTCACATGAAAAACATTTGCAATTGAATTAAGACAAAAGTTTACTTACATGAGGACAGATAAATGTACGATTAGGGTAAGTGTAGCAAGTTACTGGACAGGTGTTCTTACAATTGACACTAATCTGATTTGGTCCGCAAACGGGTGAACAGATGACAACTGTATTATTATAAAAATTAGTTTAATAATTAATGTCAATATCATTCATTTATTTTAAAACTTACTCGCTACGCAAATTGCGAGGATAAAAAAAATGATCGTGAGACGAGACATGATAATATAGAATTACTATTAAATTCTAAATTGAAACTGATCGGTATACTGTTCGTGCATTACAATATATAGTCGTCAATTTCTGTTATCTTTACTAATTTATTTGTTTTTTATGTAATCTATGAATAACACAATATTAATTAATCCTTATTAGCAGTTAGTCATCTCACGCGTGACTTGACAAGGAAACTTTGGCAAGATATTTATATAACTCTTACAATTCATACATACATAAATATTAGATGTCAGTTTTTATCTGTAAGTATTAAGAAACAGAAATACGTTTAATTGTTTATTTTTAGAATATTTTTATTCTTTTCTTTTCCATTGCTGTTTGTATTTTTAATATAATGAAACCATTATATGGTTTTATATATCTTATAATTTTATTCTTAAGTATTATCAAAAATTATAATTAATATATATATATATATATTATTTATATTTTATTATAACAAAAATCTTACATTTATCTTAAATTTTGCAAAATTAATAAGAAATTATTATATTGTTTATAATCTTTACTCTTATATTATTGAATATGTTTAAATTTCTTACGAGACAAGATTTTACATTTAATTTTGAAATAAATATTTTCAAATTTCCCGCTATAGAGGGCGTTTGATCATAGATGTCTCTTCGGTCAATTTACAAATTAGTTCTCATTTTCTACACTAGTATAATGGCACATGGTAGTATAAACACGTGTTTATAAGAAACAAATAAAATATTATTGTGAAAATATAACTAATATTAGTGAAAAATATGAATGAAACAGTTGTTAAAATGGAAGTAGACGAAAGTCTACAAGAAGGAACAGAATTAAGCTACGAAGATAAGTTGAAATACATTAATAATATTGCTAAACCAATGGCATCCAAAAAATTAACCAAAAAAATTTACAAGTGTATAAAAAAAGGTAATTTCAATGTTTCTTTCTATATATTAATTTCAATAATAAAATTCTTATTTGTGACCATATTTTATTATAGCATCGAAACATAAAACATATCTGCGTAATGGATTAAAAGATGTACAGAAACACATACGTAAAGGAGAAAAAGGGTAAGCAAAATAATATTAATAAACATTATATTATTAAAGTAACAAATTCAGTTATTATAATTGCATAATATATTTCAATTTTATAGAATAGTTATTTTTGCTGGAGATGTGTTTCCGATAGAAATAATGTGTCATTTACCAATTGTGTGCGAAGATAAAGATATTCCTTACTGTTATACACCTTCGAGACAGGATATTGGTACTGCTATGGGTGTAAAGCGTGGAAGTCTCATGGTACTTATTAAAGAACACCCAGAATATAAAGAACTATTCGACGAGTTAGTATCTACTATGAAAACATTAGCATCACCTTTATAAGTATTAAATTTGATACAATACATAAGTTGTGTTTAAACTATCAATGTAAATATGACACATAGATTATTTTTTCGTACATTATAAATAATTCCAAGTTTTAAAAAAAGAATATTTTTAATATGACAAAAACAATGACGTGTTTTATTGTAATCGACATGAATAGTAGAAATATACGATTCGTATTGATATAAAAAAAAAAAAATGATAAATAGAAAAAGGTATATATATATAGTGAACATATATGGATTTATTACGAAATTCTTATCTGACATAAATGACAAATTTTTCTCAACTTTCGACCATAACTTTTCTTAATCGCATTCACAATTATAATATGATACACATACGATCGTACAAGATTACATCTAACGCAAATGATAATATATTTGTAGCTTTTCGGATAATTTTTGAAAGAAATATTGGACATTTATTTTTATTCTTTTTCATGGATATTTCATTTTCGTCCATTTGAAAATAGTTGAAATCTTTGCCAAGAAATGAAAATATATATTTATATATATATATATATATATATATATATATATNATATATATATATATATATATATATATGTATATGCCTAATAATAAGCTTCCATTTATCGTTGTTAAGTACTATTTTATCCATTTTATTTCTTTTTTTTTTTGTTTTTTTTTTGTTTTGTTTTGTGTTTTATTTTTATTATTAATATTATTATTATGACGCATTAATTTAGGATAATCCAGAAGAATCTTTGAGATACGCTTAAATGTATTTTTCAGGATATCACAGGCCAGTCCTGTAGATTATTTATACATATTACTTTTTATGTATTTATGTATTTATGTAAATAGAACGTTATATTATTATTATTATTATTATTAGCCAGGACACATTTTGATAATGCGTATATATATACATATATATATGTATAATAAAGTGAATTAGGCACAAAGTGGAGTATGAAAAAAAAAGTCTTGAATATATTCAAAAATAATGATAGAACGTTTAATATAATTATAATATTATTGTGCCATATTTTAAAAAGAGGGATTAGATTCTTGCGAAACTAAGTTTTTTCTTTTTATTTTTTTTTTTTTTTTGCGTCTTGTTGTGTGTGTTTTTTTGTCTGAAAGAATCATAGAGATTGAGACGACCAGCATCTCGATAAAGTTAGAACGGATTTTAATGATATTTGCATTTTTTTTCTCTCAATACTTGTTTTTTTTTTTTCTTCTGCAAATTTTTCAATTGCATTTATTAACGAGTAATTTTTCATTTCATTTAACTAAGTAAAAGATTAATTATCTTTGTACACGATGATTTTTCATCCTTGTGGTCAGGACATGAAGCTGAATTGATATAACATGCGTGCGCTTTTAATAATATTTTTTTTTTTTTTCTTTTATTTTGAATGTACCGTCATCATTGAGAATAGCAATTTGAAATTTCGCGCTCATTTTTTGTTTTTTTTTTTGCTTTCAAATTAGTTACCACGTAAATCAAGATCACGAATGAAAGCTTTCGATTTTGGTTTATCATTCTTTCTTTTTTTTCTTTTTTTCTGTTTTTTTTTTTTTTTTTAAATAAAAACGTGATTATTTGAAAGATACTTAAAAGGTACATACATTTAATTACAGATTGTCGGTATTCGGTTATCTAAAACGTTACTCAATTCTGCGTATAGTAATATCTTTCATACTTTGCTAGTGATGTTTATTTTTTTTTTGTTTCTTCTTTCTGACTGTAACGATTCTTTTATATTATCTTATTTTTTTATATTTCTTTTTTTTTTTTGTCTTTTTATACTTCTAATTATAATAATAATGATCGATTGTAAAAATGACAATAATTTCATTTTATCTCGTGTTTCGTAACTACAAAACGTAAGATTATTATTATTATTATTATTATTATTATTATTTATGTAGTCTCGTGTATACAATTTATATTATATATATATACACAGGATTTTGTGTTGTATGTTAAAATGCTTTATATGTATGTGTACGTGTGTACATATATATGTATATATTATCTGTGTTTAATTAATAATGTGTGCATCGAAATAATGGGACAAAGTGAATGACGCGTGGTTTTGAAAATGGTAGAAAAGACTTTCTGCGACAATTTAATGGCGCTTTCTCAATTTACAAGGATTAACAGTCGAGGAAGAGGAAAAGGGAAGAAAGAAAAGGAAAACAAGTATTCCAAACTTAATTGTAAATGTAAGTAATGAATGGATATGTCTTTCTATCCTTTTATATTATTTTTTATTTTTTTTTTTCGCATCGTTATATCGTAACAGCTTTTTCTAGCATTGATATTATATTTTTAAGATAAAGAAAAAAGAACAAATTAGTTTTATTTTATCATTACTATCGTTTAGCGATGTATTCGCGAATATTCAAACGATCGATTAATTTAAAAAAAAAAAAAAAGAAAAAAAAAACAATATGAACGCGAAGTGTATTATTTTTGAAATTAGATGTTTTGTTCCAATTCAAATATGGCTCCTCGAAAGATTCGCGAAATGATCGACAGATGTCGCCCCTTGCACTCTTCATTTTCGCTTTTTTTTTTTGCGCGCAGCTATGTATTTATTTATATTACATATATATATATATATATATTTATATATGTATGTGTATGTGTTATGTATATATATATATATATGTATTTTTATAATAATTATAAACTATTATTTTAAAATCTTATTTAAATTACCAATTTTGTCAGTATAAAATATTTATACGCATTTTTTTTTATTTTATTTTTTTTTTTTTATATACTTTAATGTATATGAGCGACGAAGGACGACATTGACATCAAAATTGACGTGACGTACAACAAATATAGGACGTTATTCTCTCCTTAGTTTTTTTTTTTTTTTCATTTTTTTTTT